ACTCTTTCTTTGCAGAGATTATTTTTCTCCGTGCCATCACACCTACATATCCAGCCAACCAGGCAGATATCATATTTGACATAACAGAAGGAAATTTAAGAGATTCCTTTGATATTATCAAGCGGTACATGGATGGTATGACAGTGGGTGAGTAGTGTTTTCTGTTTACTTTCTTCTCTCAATAATACTGTAGAACAAGGTCAAAGAAATTAACTCAAGTGATTAATTCCCATCTTGATTTTCAAACCTGTATTGATTTGTTATTCTCCAGTCCAATCTATGTAATTTGAACTAGTATCACAATTAATTTTTTATTCAAAATAAGAGATACCTAAACTTCAACTTGAGAAATGTTTTAACTTCTTTCAGAATTGGTGTTAATTACAAATGGCTTCATTTTAAAATGGTGAGCTTTGCCCATTATAGTCAAACCAAGTATCATAACACAGCATGTCAGCAAAGAGACTGTAAATGTAATTAAGCGTTCTTGTTTAAACAGCATTGCCCCAATTTTTGTGTAATAGTAAATCTTTTAAAGCAAGACTGAATTTACTGAAACTGTTACCTGTTTCCATATTTAATGACAGGCTGGTTCAGTTTTAGATAAATACCTTTGTTAAATGTAAAAAGGATCTAACAAATGCTGTGGTTTAGAAGAAACTTTAGAATGGAACATGCACATTTGATTTACAGTCTCACCTTTGCAGGGAGGAGACATGGCAGGAGGTATACCTGTGTATACGGGTCAGGTTGTAGACCTGCATCTATTCATATAGCAGGGAGGGGCTGCAACACAACCTGGGGTCATTCTTTCTGGTAGGCTTCTCTCAGAGCAGGGTCCTTTTAGGGGATATAGTGCATGCTGTATGGAGCATGTAATGTGTGTAGTGTATCTAGCATATATACATACACACAGCTACATATTTACAGTTTTATGCTGCTTTGGCTTTCACTCTGGGATCCAGCAAACCCAGGAGAAAGTGGCAAATTATGTGAAGGTTGCAGAGCAGGAGCAGGTCCCAGCTGATGTGCTGCTCTGCTTGATGCAAGTTGATAGTGCCATGGTAGGGGAATATGCTGTGATTATCATGCTTAGAGAATGAATATGCCAGGTATTAAAAGGTAGTATTTGACTGCTCTTTATTAATTTTTATTAAGTTTATTGAATGTTTATTATGAAAATAAAGGACCACTGTTCCCACTGAACATTTATGCTTCAGTATGTGAATGCTTAGGTTCTACTCGGGTTTATACGTGTGAGACTTTATCAGTTTTCAGGAGTTAAAAGTACAGCAGAAACTGGGCAGAAATATTTTACAGTGAAAATAGTGGACCCCTCTGTGATTATTTGTAGTGCTCTACTAGAGAAATGTAAAGCACGATGCAAGGTTTGATTAGGGATTTTTTCTTTTAATCCATTGCATATCATACAGTTAATAATCCAGACCATGTTACTAGGTAGTAAGTTACCTGGAAGTACTTGTCTTTCTCAGTTTAAAAGATGTGTAGATGTGGCACCTAGAGTCATGGTTTAGTAGTGGACTTGGCAGTGCTGGGTTAATGGTTGGACTTGATGATCTTAAAAGTTTTTTTCAACTAAAACATTTCTATAATTCTATGTGCTTCTGGGGTTTCTAGCAGGACTTTGGGTGAATAGAAAAATCGCTGCTGCGCTTCCATACTGATGGTTTGTGAAAACGTCATATTTAGCATGATCTGAAGGTGGCACTGTTGCATTTCAGAAGCATGATACTAAAGCCTGAGTTGTGCAAAGGTTTTATGAACTGTAGATAAAAATCATCAGTCATTAGGTTTATATTTCTTTCTTTATCAAACAGAAGTATACATGTGAATGCTGAGAAAGAGGGAGAGTCTGTTAAAGTGGAATGATAAGATTACAGATTTCAGGTATTGGGTTGATTCTTTAGAAGTGTATAAATGTTATCAGATCCCACAGTAGTTACAGTAGTTTGCTTTTCGTGCTGTGTGCTTCTTTCTGTCTGAAATAAGAAAGAAGGATGTGTTCAGAAATTTGGCTGGCCGAGGTATTCGCCTGAGGGAAGCTTTTCCATTTTGAATAACAGGACTGCGTGTCGATGGTATTTTACTTGGTAAATTGGATATCTGCCTCACAGCATTAGGAGAAAAGGGATATTCTTATACACCAGGTTGAGAGGATATGATATACGCCTAAGTACATTCCCAGTTCTGCAAAAGAATTGAGCAACTCTTTCTTCACCTCAGTTCCCCCATCTGCAACATGAAGATGATAAAACATGTCTATTACTGTCTTAATTAATTCTTGTATGTAAGATTCTTAATTAATTCCTCTATGTAAAACTACTTTGAGATTAATGGGTGGAAGCTGCAAAGTAAATTGCCTGCAGCAGAATTGGAAAAGGGAAAACAAAACAAAACCCCAGCTGATACTTACCAAGAGGGGCAGAGGTTCAGGACAGCATGTCGTATGTGTGAAATCAGGATTGTAAATGATTCTGCCAGTAGCAGTTCTGCTGCTTTCATCAGAATATCATTTTTTTTCTTGTTAATAATCAGAATGTTAGGTGTTTCCATGAAAGTGCTGGGTAGTTTTCAAGACAATAAATAAGATATGATCCTAGTCTACATGGGTCACAAAGTGAGTTCCTCTTGTAAAGAAAGAAGAAGGGATTGTACAAGGATGCAATAACACAAAGGGCACAAACAATATCAGAAAGCTTTGTTGGTTATCCCATTAAGTTACATGAACATAAGAACTGTGGGGATGTAACACAGGGACTCTAGCAGAGCAAATGACTAACTAACCCAGTAACCATTGTCCAACATATGAGCCAGTAACAGACAGGTATACAGGAATCCTTCTGCAAATGTAATGTTCCAACTTGCTTCAATCATCAGTTTATATGCTTCTGGGAATGTGCACCTGGATTACCATGCTTGATGACCACTGATGGTCATATGCCTCTTAAATCTGTGTAGACTATTTTTAGTTATTATTAATTTTTGCTGCCTACATTGTAGAGGAAAGAATATATTTACCCTGAAATCATAGATGCACAGGTAAAAGGAATAATAAGCATGTCTCATTCTGTGTAATATTTCAGGAGAAATGAGCAGAGTGTGAAAGCTATTTAATTAGCCAATGGAAATTAGGTCACCAAATATCTTTGTCTACAAGTCAAATTTTCTCTATAAGAGAAAAGATAGAAAACCTCTGCAGGAGTTCTGTGGGTTTATTTTCTTTAAAGAAAAGACATGAACTAGCTCAGAGAGAGATTAAATGCATAACAGCATATTAAAACAAGGCAGGAAAATAATTACTAGTGTTAGGGAAAGGGCTGGGTGTAATAAACCTCAACTGCATATCAGAGCAGAGGAAACTGATGAAGGCATTCAAAGAAAGGAAGGAGCACTGGGAAAAGAGGGGGAGAAAGAACAGATCAGTCAAGATGCTCTTTCAGGAAGTCCTTCATTAGTAAAACAGGTTTTTGCTAGGTTGTAAGAAATGAGAGCATTGACACCTTAAGAAGGACCTGTGTTTGTGTGAATGGAAAGGAACAAAATGGTCTCAAAAGCATAACACTAAAAAAAAGTAAAAAAGTACAGGTTCCTTTTGGTAAAGGTTTAGAGAGGGGGAGGAGCTGTTAGAGAAGGAGTTATAGAAGAAAAGTGAGGACTTCAATACTGACAAAGAATCGTGGATTGAAAAATCAGATCATCAGTTTTAGCCATTATCTGTTTAAGTTGACACTGAGACATCAAGAAGTTGTTAGTGAAGCTGAGAAATCTGTAGGATTGGATGGAGAGTGACTTATCACGCTGTTTTGTGATTTGTTGCTGGAAAGACACAAGCTGAGGTCATAGGAGGAGATGAGAATGTGTAGGAGCAGGTTGTGAGGAAGCAAAGAGAAGACACTAGAAACAGAGGAAATAGTTGCTCCAGGAAATGTTAGAAAAAGAAAGAAAACAGTCTCCCAAAGGAGATGTAGGAGAAGCAGGCACAAATGTGGAGAAGAAAGAGATAAGGACAGTACTGCAAGATCAAGGAAAGAAAATATATCAAATGGGAATCAGTGATCAGCAGTATGAGACATGGAGGAGCCAAAAGAAGTAAGAACAGACTCCAGAACTAGCTATGCTGACCTACAGGAAGTATCCTCCAGTGGAAGAAAAGGAACGAAAGCCAGCCTGCTGGAGTTGCAGTGCATAGACTTCATGCAAGCTGAAGAAAGAGTTGTATAAAAAGTTGCCACCAGTATTTCTACCCTATTGTATTAAAAAGACATGTGAAACTCCATTCTGTCCTGGTTCAAGAAGTGGTGTAGAGTCTTTGCTGCCAGGTGTGGTTACAGTCCAAGGTGGCACTGAATCCAAAAGATACTATTAACGCTGCACATCACTTACTAGCATGGGTGGGAGGAAAACAGAAGTGCAGTTTTAGCCAGTTGTGGATTTTTTTAAAAAAGCTTTTATAGACTTTTGACTGCATTCCTCCTTTAACCAGCTGTCAGTGAAAAATGAAGAATGCATTTTCAACTTGTACAAAAATGTCCTATCAATGCCTAAGGTATTATCAGATACTATAAAACATTTCCCCTCTCAGCTATGCATTCATTTCCTTAGGTGACTGTAATACCACCTTGTAGTCTGGTAAACTTCAGGAAGATTGTAAAATTTTTTTATACAGCTAAAAGTTTTGATAGGCTAAAATCTTCCATATTGCATTTGATACTAACTTAAGCAGATATTCTTGTCTATTACGCAGAATTGTACTATTCTGATCAAAAAACAATTATAAAATTTCATTTGTACCTATAGAGCTTCTCAGGGGTGTTGTGCTGGTGCTAGAATACACTTGATATCAACGGTTGCTTATAGTTTTGCAGATATGTACTACTGTTCTTTACTGTTATTTGCAAGGATTTCACTGCTGTCTCTGTCCTGGCTTTCCAGCCACATGTACACGTGTGAGAGTTCACGATATTACCTTTGAACCATCACCAAAAGTGTCTCAACTACTGATAACACAACAGTAGATTTAGTAGTAGTCTAATTTCTACTTTGGTACCATGATTGTTTAGCATGTTCCAGAGGCTGGTAAGAGACATTTCAAAAACGATTGGAAGGTAAACAAAAACAGATACCGT